GGACCACTGCTGGGGACAGGAGTGGACCTCAAAGCCCACTGGCTGGGAAGCAATGATGTCATTTTCCTGACCAAAAAAAAAAGGAATTCCAAGCCCTTTTGATACTGATGCAGGTAGACAAGGTCGGGGCCTGGCTCCACCCCAGTGAGCCGCCCAGGTGAGCCTGGCCTGGACCTCCAAATAAGGTCTCAGACAGTGGATCTGGCCCCGGGTGGCTCCGCCCTCTGCTTAGTCTGGTTTTTCCTTCCATCTTTGGAGCCGGCGACCAACTGTTGCAGCCAAGCCTGGGCTTGGATCTCCACTGAACCTGTGGTGTTTCAACACCCCGCGAGTCTGAGATTCAGGCTCCTTGAGCCTACCCAATAAGGGGATGCCCGGTGGGTGGGGGAGGCAGGCCCAGCTCTGGGGGTGCACACACAGCACCCTTTGTGTAGCCGCTGAGTCACATGGGCGACACCATCCCTGCCAGCCCCAGGGCCAGTCACGGGGCTGGGGCTTCGCTGCCCGCCCGCACGCTGGCCCCAGCCATTCCCACGGGAATGCAGGGTGGTGGCTGGGATCCCGGCGGCGAGGCAAGGGTCTGGACCGCGGGACCGGGGTTCAAGTCCCCGCTCTGCTGCTGGTTGGCTGCGCGGCTTGGGGCAGGTTCTCCTGCTGAGCCTCAAGGTTCAGCCTCGAGAACAGCCAGCCCTGTTTTAGAGCGGAGAAGCTGGATGGACTGGAAGGATTTTGCAAACGGCGGCTCAGGTCTTCACTGTTTCTGTTCATGTTATAACAACCATAATGACCTTTGTGCCGGAACCGCGCAGTGATATATCAGGTGACTCGGCTCGTAGCCAGGCTTCGACTCAGAAGTCTGGATTGAGCCGCCCTTGTCTCATAAACTGCCCCCCACCCCAGCCTCCTCCCCAGGAAGGCGTTGGGGGCCCGCGACCCTTCCCGGGATGAGCAGAGGGCTTCACTGTCTGCCAGGCTGGTTCCCACGATCCTGCCCTGCTGGCGCAGGCCTGCCCGTGGGGCTCTGTCCCAGGGGCGCATCGACACTGTCCTGGGGCCGCCAGTCCAGCCCTCACCTTCCTGGCACACTGCCCTGACAATAAAGCCCTCACCCGCGCACACCGGGCCCTCGCTCTCGCCAGCCTCACTAGCGAGTTTTACTTATGTGGCTTCATTGATTACGGCACTAATACTGTCCCACGTGACAGGTGAGGGGGATGGCTAGGGACCCGCGGCCTGGGTGGCCCAGTGGGCGGCCAGGAGTGGACAACATTTGGCCTGGAGTCTGGGTTCCCAACTGTTGGACGGCAGCATCGCCCCTTTCATCCCTGAAATGAAGGCCTCTCTGCGAGTGAAACTTCCAGTACCCCATCTCTGGTCTCTATCACCAGCCAGTATGCTTATGACTTTCTCTGGGCGGGGGACCCCAGCTGCCTGTTGGAAGCCTGAGGCAGCTTCTTTCCTCCCGCCTAGGTCTGCACTACACCTGCACCCCACACAGGGTAATTCTGCCCTCTGTCATCTCCCTTCTCCCCTCAGCTTTGTGTGGGATCAGGGGGGGTAGGGTAGGTTCTAGTCTGCCTTCTGGCTTCCCTATGCAACCCCGTGTCCCAACTAGACCCTGGCCCACCCTTCCCCTGCTCCCCGTCCCATCCGCCATTGCTGCATAAGCCCCTGGAGCTTCAAAGGGGCACCCCTACTGAAACACATGCTGGCATCACCTGGGCTTCTTGTTGGAATGCATCTCCTGATTCAGGATGTCCTGGGTGCACCTGAGTCCCTGGTTTCTGACAGATTCTTGGGCTGTGTTTTTTACATCATTTGTTTTTACATCATTTTGTGCCTTTTTCCACCTCATTTGTAATCCCCATGAGTTTCCCATCACCAGTTCACCTGTGTGCCATCACCATAGTTCCATGCACTCCCCCCCCCTCCATTTTTGATCCTGTCCCCCACTCCACCCCCATAAAATGACTCTGGTATATAGTTGTTCATTATTTCCCCACCCACACCCCGGTCCTTTACGCTCCTGCTATGAGTGAAACCATCTGGTATTTTTTCTCCTTCTTTCTAGCTTTTTTCTCTAAGCATGATCCCTTCCAGCTCCATCTATGTCGCTACAAAAGGCATGAGTTAATCTTTTTGATAGCTGAGTAATATTCCATTGTGTATATGTACGGCATCTTTTAAAAAATATAATAGTTTATTTTTACATCATTTTGTGCTTTTCTTCCATCTCAGTTGTAATCCTCATGGGCTTCCCATCACCAAATTACCTGTGTGCCATCACCACATTCCAGTGCACTTTCCACCCCCCCATTTTTTATTCCATTCCCCACTCCACCCCCGTAAAATGTCTCTGGTATATAGTTGTTTATTATTATTATTATTTTCTCCCCTGGTCCTTTATACTCCTGCTATTTTTCCTTTTCTTTCTGGCTTATTTCACTAAGCATGATCCCTTCCAGCTCCATCCATGTTGCTGCAAAAGGCATGGGTTTATCTTTTTGATGGCTGCTGTAATATTCCACTGTATATATGGACCGCATCTTTTTAATCCAGCCATCTACTTTTGGGCATTTGGGTTGATTCCATGTCTTTCCTATTGTAAATAAAGTGGCAATAAACATGGGGGTGCAGGTGTCTTTCTGAATCAGTGTTTTTGTGTCTTTTGGGTAGACAACTAGGAGTGGGATTTCTGGGTCATATGGAAGCTCCCTTTTTAGCAATCTGAGAAGCCTCCAAACAGTTTTCCATAGTGGTTGTACTAGTTTGCATTCCCACCAGCAGTGCAGGAGTGTTTCTTTTTTTCCACATCCTCGCCAACATTTGTTGTTGCTAGTTGTTTTAAGATGTGCCATTCTCACTGGGGTGAGGTATCTTATTGTGGCTTTAATTTGCATCTCTCTTATTACAAGTGATGGTGATGTGAACATTTTTTCATATGTTTGGCCATCTGTATTTCCTCTTTGGAGAAATGTCTTTTTAGCTCTTCTGCTCGTTTTTTTGATGGAGTTGTTTATTTTTGTTGAGTTTCTTGTATATCTTTGTGATCGATCCTTTATTGCTAGTATTGTGTGAGAAAAATTTTTTCCCAATCAGTGTAATGTTTCTTTGTTTTGTGTAATGTCTCTTTTGCTATACAGAAGCTCTTTAACTTGATGTCTGTGGACTCTTTTTATATAAATATTTTAAGACTGCAGTTTTTAAAAATATTTATTTATGCATACAAAAGCTGGGGTGAGGATCCACCAGAGACAGAGTGGGGAGCAGATCAGTCAAATCCACTGAAATACACTGCTGAGGGGAGCACTTCATTTTGAATGCTGATCATATCCCTCCCTTCCAAGCACCTTTTCTGCCTCCCTGGTGCCTTTGATGAACCCCTGAGCCCCACATATCCATCATCCTCCAGAACCTGTCCCTACTGCCCTAAGCAGGCCCCACTTCCCTCCCAGAGCCACTCCCTGCCCACCTCTCCAGCTCAGTCCATGTTCCCTCCACCTGCAATGCCCTTCCAGCAGGTTCTCTTTGCCGCAGCCCCCTTCCAGCTCCCCTCCCCACCCTGGCGCCCCCTCCTCCCCCCCAGCAGGACCCAGTAGGGGCTCTGGGGGCAACACACTTGGCTCAAGCCCCGGCTCAGTCCCTGGCAGGCGTGAATATCTCCTCACCCACTCTGTGCCCTGGGTGCTTCTCTGCAAAGTGGGGAGAGTGAGCTCAGCAAAGTCCAGGGTGTTGAGGAACCTAGAAAGCACCTCACATGTGGGGACTGCATGGCCCCACATCCGGAGGCCTGGTCCTGGCCAGCTGTGTGGCCAAGGCGTCTCCCACAGGTGGGAGTGTGACGTGAGAAGGAGCCACGTACCACAGGGCCTATGCCCTGAGCCCCGTGGACGCAGCAGCTACGGGAGGCAGGGGAGGGTACCCTTCCCCAGCCCTGGTCACTTATGCCCTCTACCCACCGCGGGTTTCCAGACCCTCCTTTGGGATCTCCCTGTGAGCGTGCCAGGCCTGCAGTGTGTGAGCGTCGAGGGTGCCAGCTCTGCTCTGGAGGTCTGCGAGGCTGGCCTGTGAGTGGCTGGAGAGCCAGCCCGCTCGGCTCCTGCCCCGCTGCCACTGCCAGCTGTGTCACCTTGGCCAAGTTAGTTCCCTTCTCTGCCCATGGCCTCCCTTCTCATCATACAACCGGACATTATGGAGGGCTCATCACATGCCAGGCCCTGGCCTCAGCAAGCTGCTCTCCCCACCCCACTGTGGCGCTAAGGCCGTGGCGTGAGGGAGGGGACAGGAAGGCAGCCATGGTCATGGAGGTAACTACTGTTGTTATTACTGTTATTGTTGATGTCATCCCTCTGCCCTGTGATGCTGGGAAATCAGCCTCAGAGGAACCTGGGGCTTGGGAGTCACCTGTCCATGCTAGAGGGGTGAGGGGAGCTGGGCAGCCCCACTCTGCAGAGTGAGCCAGGAGCTCTGCAACTTGCTGGCTCCTGGAGCAGCTGTGAACCTGGGCAGGGGGACAGAGCTGTGGATGGGGGGCCGAGGCCAGAAAGGGGGTGAGGGACTCTGCCCATTTCCAGATGACTCTCTCTGAGCTTTTGGTGTCACCAGGTATGTCTCTTCACCTGGGCCTCAGTTTCCCTTTTGACCTAGCAGAGGCACTGAAGATGTTTCCAGAAGGCCCTGGAATGGCAGAAGCCAGACCTTGAGTCTCGGGACGTTGATAGTGGGGAGACTGAGACAGCCCCTTGGCTGGGAGGGCTGGCAGAGCTTGGGGAGAACTGAAGGTCAGGCTGCCAGTAGTGCGTGGACTGGCTGGCCATGGGCCAACCCCCTCGACACCCCCTCCCCCGCCTGCCTTCCGCCCTGCCGCTCAGCCTGCCCCCTGCCTGCTGCCAAGGAGGCTGGACTCTCCTCAGGAAGGGGCAGTTGCTGCCTGAGCCTGGTGAGGCAGAAGGGGGAAGCATCCCAGCAGCCTGTATCCACGGTAACCCTGGCCTCTTTGCGGGAACTTTGGGGTGAATAGCAGGGAGGAGGAAGTTGCAGCGGAGGGCTAACAGGCAGCCTTCTGGGTTGGCATCCCCTGTCTGCCTGGTGGGGGACGGAGATTCCTCTTTACCCAGCGCTGAGTCACGGACATCCCCATGGTTGCTACCTTGGGGCTGGCCCCTCCTCTTCTCTGGGAGAGCACTGTGAGTCAGGAAGGCCTGTCATCCCAGCCGGAGGCGGGAGGGGCTGAGAGGGGCGTCCCCATTGCTCACGCCCGGCCCCTCCCTGCTCCACACTGGCTGCGTGGGTGTTGTATAGAGCTGCCCACGCTACCAGCCTGCTAGTCTGACAGTGGGACCGCGGCGCAGGTTAGGTCTCCCGAGGGGATCTCAAAGGCAGCGCAGCCTGGCCCCACGCGGGACCCCCCTTCAGGAACCAGGTAGGAGATGAAGGGCGTGACAGCTGTGGACAGTGGGGCTGGGAGTGCTGGATAGTCGGGGAGGTGGTGGGATGGGGACTGGGTATCCCCACTAGCACTGGTGGGTGCTGTCCTGGGAGCACTGCTGTGTGTGTGTGGGGGGCGGTCTGTCAAGTTGAGGTGCACGGACAGGGAGGCGTCCGGCAAGGGGGAGGGGCTCAAGAGGATGGAACCTCCCAGAGCCACTAGTCTGCTGTGAGTTGGGGAAACTGAGGCCCAGAGTGGGCTCTGCTCGCTGAGCTCTGCGATAACGGTCCACTCTGCTTCCTCGGCCCAGAGGGGCGAGCGAGGCTCTGAGGGGCAGGTGGCTGACCTGGCCACACAGCAAGTAGGGATGGACAGCCCGGGTCCAGCTTGGGGAAGAGCACACAGTGGCTCACCTGCAGCTGCCGTGAGGCTCATCCAGGACCCCAAAACACGGGGCCACCGTCGGAGGCGATGGTCCCAGCCGGGGGGGCGGGGGGATAGCGAGCAGGGGGACCTGGGCTCAGAGAACATTTTGGGAAGCCGGGGCAGACAGATGGGGAGGCGCTGAGGGCTGAGAGCTTCCTGCACACCAACCCACTGACCGCTGGACCTCAGATTCCTCCCGACTGTTTGATCCCCATCGGCCGGCCCCACGCTGGTGCCACCGCAGCACCCACCTTGTGCCCCTCAGCGAGCTGCCGGTTCCAGTCCTTCCCTCACCCCAACCAGTCTCCCTCCTGTGGTGCCCACTTAGGGTCTCCCGGGCCCCAGGGAGGGGACTTTTGGGGGTTGGAGGGTGCCTCTGCTCCCCTCGCCCCTTCCTGCTCTGCCTGAATCTGGCCTGGGGAGGTGGGTGGGTGGGAAATGCCCTCGTGGCTCCAGGGGGCCGTGAAAGCTCTCCATGTGAACACTGAGCACCCTGTGTGCGCTGGGAATGAGCCAGGAGAGGTCTAGATCCAGAAGCTAGTCCTCCTCCTCTGTCTGTGGGCACCTCGAGGGCAAGTTCCTTGGGGCTGCAGTGGGGAGCTCCCGGTCTGGTCTTCCTAGCGAATGTCCCGCTGGGACAGCTCCTGGGGCCATGCCTGACCCCCCTTGGCATCAGGGACCCGAGATTCAGGCTCACTGTAGCTACCCCGCGGCCCCCCCAACCCCCCACCTTGCCTCTTCTGGGCCTCAGTTGCCCCAGCTGCTTACTGGGCATGGGGGGATGGTGTCGGTAGCTGTCCTGCCGCTCACAGACGGACCGGACGGGGCTTGGCTCTAAGTGTCAGGTGGCGACTCCAGGTGTGGCCGGCCAGGGAGAGGCGGTGCTGGGCAGCCGGCACCACGCTGCTGGGCCCCTGGGGAGGGACGGTCAGCCTGGATGGACACGCCCATCTTGCTTGGGACACAAACAAGGCAGTGAGGAGCTGAGCTGGGAGTGGGATCGCTTGTTGGGCGAGGAGGAGGTCCTGCACACGATGTTTGGGGGGCTTAGAGAAGCAGGCAGGGGAGAGGCTTGGGGTACGTGTGTGAGGATTGCACTCTTGGGGGAGGCATTCCTGTGTGGCAAAGGTTTGGACTGTGTGGGGCAGGCTATGGCCATGGACGCCTGGCCTGGGTCGTTTCATGGGGCCTGGAGGGCGCACCAGCGGGCCCCAACCTGCTCTGCAAGGCGACAGGGTAGCTGCTGACCACCCCCCCATACCCACTAAGCAAGCACAGGCTGGGTGGGGGCTGCTGCCCCCAGGAGGCTGGGGAAGGCAGGGTCTGGATGCTGGCCTGCCTGCCCACCCAGGCTGCAGATTCAGGCGCCGGCTGGGGGAGGCAGCTTCGGGGCTGCGGGGGCAGAGGGCGAGGTGGCCCCCCAGCCCAGGGGAAGGCAGGGTCTGTGTGCTAGAGTCAGCCTCGCCTTCTCAGCTGGGCCCACTGTGACAAAGACAGGACGGGGACAGGGACAGACAGGGGCAGGGCTCCAGGTGAGTGGGCCCCGCTCACTGCTCCCTCAGTGAGAGCTGCCTGGGGCTGGCAGGTGGGGTGGGGGTGAACTGCTTCTATCTCAGAGGTGCAGGTGGGTGCCCACAGGGCAGTGGAGGGTCAGGGACAGGCTGGGGCG